GGACTTAGAGTTTCAAGAATATATCGCTCCAGAATAGCTTCCCCATGGGAACAGCTCTGAAGTAAGGCTCTGCTGTCTGATTAGCATTTCAAAATTCTGGAGCTCATTCCTCACAGAAACACCATAAGATCCCGAGCTGGTGGAACCGCCTGGCAGGAAGCACACAGCTCCAACAGCATCACCACCTGCCACGGGTGGGCAGGGACTGTTCTTCAAACAGTGCCCTTCCCAGAGTCTTGACCTCTATGGCTTCGCTTTGCTCCTGTTTGCTTTTTGGGCTGCCTGGCTGTGCCCTACATGGTTAGGGAAACCATCAGAATTTGGGTGCACATTTCAGAGGAAGCCTGGATGTGTTTTTAAGGCGGTGTGGGCAGAATGGGAGCTTTTCCTGACTGAGGCATGCAAAATACCTTGGGAGTGGGCAATATGACAAGCACATGTTGCCTTTCCCTTTGCTGACTTAGGTCACAAGAGCATCAGTCATTCTTCCAGGCACTAGAAGCACGAGTGCTCTGCCTGCACAACTAATGCCTAAGGATGGTCAGGCTTCTTTGTGCTCTTCTTCATTCTTACACACCTGGAGCAACACAGGGCTGTCCAACACAAAGGATTTCACAGCAAGGTAAAACAAAACAGCAAAGGAAATGGGGCAGTTGTACACCTTTCAATTGCTGGAGAGGGAAATGGATGAAATGGGGAAATTAAACTCTTCAGCAGTAATTCACAAAACAATCCTGCTTTGAGACTGTACTTGAAAAGGAACTCCCAGGGCTTACTGTGGTCAGGGCTGGCAGCAATACTGCTTGGGCTCAGCCCATATTGCAGCTGGCTGCCCACACACTGATAGTTCAGCTGCAAGTTTACTTCTATCAGTTCTTCAGAGAGAATTTACTTGCTCCACGGAAAGCAAAAGGATAGGCAAGTGGTGGCAGGCTGAGATAGTCTGCAGCAAATCTAAGAAGGCAGCAGCAATGATTCAAGCACCATTGTCAGAGGGTCGTGCTGCATGGTGCTATGAGGAGCAGCCCAAAACACTATCAAAAGCATCCAGTGGAAGCAGTTTAAAATAAAATAAATTATCTTTAAGATAAGCTAATTTATGCTTTGAAACCAGCCTGTTAAAAAAAAAAGTCTGATTAAATTGCTTATTCTTTAAGAACAACAAGCAAAAGGGTGCAGAGCAAGGACTCAGAGCACATGTGGCAGCTCAACAAGTCTACTAATCTGCTTGTCTACCAGTTCATTTGGCTAGTACACATTAATGCTCTAGTCTCTGAGAACACACACTATTCTCTGTCAATGCTACTGGGTGTTACATGATTGTACCATTCATAAAACGAACTCCCTGGTGCATATCTGCAAATTTTCCTTGAATATTGTTATAGTTTCTCTTCTGAACAACTCTGGGCAATGGCACGAGCTCTGTGAGCATGGGGGAGCCTTACACAGGAGGAGTGTAATTAAGAATACATTCTTCTAAGTTCATGCATTGGATTTTGAGCTGCAGTAAACTCTTACGTTTTCATTAGCTTCTACTGAGCTTCAGTGTTTACACAAGGTGGTGGCATTATAATTTCAAATACTTCTTTAGTCATTTTTACTTATGGAAAAAGCCTGCAGGAAAGCCTGAGCATGCCATCAGAAAAGGCAGATTCCTTGCATACAGATGAGTCTTCATCTCAGAGAAATGTTAATGGCCTGTGGCTAGGATAAAAAAGTTGGAATGTGACCCTCTGAGGCAGTAGGGCAGATGCATATGACAAAGATTTACTCTAAGGAAGCAAATCTGTCTTTAAAGAAGTTGACAAAATAAAGATCAAATTTGAGACAACAACAACTAAGGAAAAAGAAATTATTCCTATTCTGCTAGATATACCTTCAGCAGAAGTCAGAATACATCCACCAACTAAATTTCCTACAGAATCCAAATCCTGGACATCATCCCAAGTCTTAATTTTGGAAGATAATGAAGTTCTTCCCATGTCTGGTGGCTTGTATTAATCCCTAAACCTTAGTAATTCAGACATCTTACTTCAACCAATAGCCATCCATCAGCTGTCCAACATGGTGCTTACATTTACCCCTCATTTTTATGGAAGGAAAAAATGTACCCCTCCTTCTTTGTCTGCCATAAAACCTGAACAAGGATAAGCCAGGGAGAATCCATCTTCCAGGGGCTAATCATACAGGACTGTACCTGACAAGACACTGAACACACTCAAGTCTGTCTTTTGGCAGAGAGGGACACATTCAGTCATACAGGTCTGGAACAAAGCATGAGCCAAGTTGAAGTTGCTAAGGCACCACTGCTGTTTGCTATGGCATGTGCACTGTTATCAATGTCTAGTTCTGGTTTATTGTTTTTCAAAGGGTTGGCTTAGTTTGTGTAACATAAACTATGGCCATTAGAGTAAGTCCCATCGTTTCCTCTGGCTTCTCCACCTTTCTGAAATGGGTGACATTTATATTTGTTGTCTAGTCTTGGACTGTCTCACACTTATCTTCCTGAATATTTTTGTGCTTCTGCAGAGAACAGGATTTAAAATGGTCGAGAGTAGCCCATGCAGTAATCCCTTTCTATTTGTTAAACTTATCACTTCTGTACAGCAAATAGAGTCCTCTTGAGAGGTGCAACTGTTTGCTATAAAAAGCAAATGCTTTAAAAAGTATAAAATTCCATATGATCCATGCAGCTTTGCTCATAGGTATTTGCAATAAAATGATTATACAGACCACCAGACAGATTTTTGTGGATTTCCCTGGAGTGGGATTGAACCCCATTTGAATGCAAGCGGGCTGCATCCTGCTAAAAGCTGAAATTTTTTGGTGAGTATGAACTCACTCTGAAAAGCAATGGCCTCATGTGGCCCCTGGTTTACTGTGCCTCACTGTATCCATATTAAAATGGCTCAGTTCAGAAGCAAAATGATTGCTTCTTTTTTTTTAAAGCACCCTAAGACCACATAAACTCAGCCAAACTCACAGTGCTCAAGCCTGAGCTCTTCCACACTACCATGTTAACACTGGTTACACAGGCCCTCACTGTGTGTCTGTGCACCCTCTGATGTTCCTCTGAAATGCC